TATGCTAAACCATCGTGCCATAAACTAATTCAGTAAGCATATTTCTAAACCTTCAATGACATCGGCATTCTCGTTACAATTGTGGGAATTTAGAGCACACTCATCGATGTCTAAAATAAAATCAATGAATCGTACCCATGATCGTTATCATCATTACCAAGGAGGGGAGAGTGGGGCAGAGGGCAAAACCGACTTTATTGTGTGTTATTCCAGTTCTACAGGAAGAAAAATATGTGATTATCAAATGACAAATCATATGATTAGATGGATGATAACTTAGATGTGATAATCGGAGTACATTATGATTATAATTATACAACGAGTGTTTTTACCAGAGGTCAATTAGGACGAGGCATTCCGCTCTAAGTAATGTTCATTACCTTTGCAATTATGTATATCACCGCTGAATCCATGTTCACAAATGCACTTGAATGATCCTTCGGTATTTAAGCATATGACGTTTTCATTGCTGCACTTGTGGGTATTTGTTTCACACTCGTTGATGTCTAAAATATAATCAATAGACCTCTGATCAAGATACTGAAAAACAGAGGTTGCGGAAAGGGGAGGCGGCAGATATGATGTGTTATGCTATTTGTCAGGATTGGCGAGTGAAGAAGCAAGTGAGCAATAAAATGAGGGGCTGCGGAGGGGAAAAATTTTCGCCCACTTTTTCCGGCACTGAATGCCTAGCCTGGGGTGAGTCTGCAACTTCAAAGAGACGGGATAGTCTTTGAAATAAAGAAAGAGGCATCCAAAACTTAAGGAAGGTGGCTTGAATTCTTTGCTGTTCATCGTAAACAAGACGCTTAACCAAAGTTGAGAAAAAGAGCACGAAAATTGGACTTGTGCTCCCATCCTTCTTTTCACCCGCAATGGGCCATATTCAGTATGTGTCATAAGTACGACTGATTCTGAATCTTGTACCTTCTGAAGAAAAAGACCACTGTGATAAAATCAAAAATTCATTTCTATTACGCAAGTGTTACCTTTTTCACAATCGTGGCCGGTAAATCCAGACGCACATAAACATCGATATCGTTTTCTTGTAAACCCCGACTGGCAGGTGCCGTTGTTCTGGCATGAAGCTTGAGCGCAAAAATTCTTTAACAAAAACAAATAAATAATCTGGCATTTTCCAGACATGAATAAAAAGAGTACCCCTGTAGCACTCACGAATTTCTAAAAGAGAGTAGTGCAATTGACATTTATCAACTGGTACCTTAGTTCCGTGGTATACATAGTTCGCTGCTTTCACCAGATCGTTATCATACTCTTTACCCGTTGAGTTATTCAGTCCACAGTTGTGTACTTCTGCTCCGTTTTCTCCAAAATAAAAGTTAACACTGACATAGTTGTGGTCCAAGTAGCAACGATATTCACACATGTCCCTGTCAATCATACTGATGTTTGCTATAGTGTGGTTAACAAGACATTCTCCTACGAAGAATAAACTGGATGGAAATGTCAATATACGGCATTGATCTAAAAATTCAAACCATTTAGAGTTAAAAAGCAAAATGGGTCATTAATTTTGACGGTGACAGATGTTGTTAATCTCGCTGTTCGATGTGTGTGGTACGTATTTCGATAATTGTGACATATTCATTGAGTTACCGGAGATCAAACTGTATTAACAGT